CATTTATTCAAGTAAAAAAAAGACTGGCTATTGTTATGAGAAACTGGTCCATAGACTGTTTATGTTTATTGTTTTGTCTTCCAACAAACATTTCACTCAGTACATCATAATGGTTACTGAGTTCAAAAATATTTACCATAATAATAATATTTATTATAAAACACGTTTAATGTAGTCTGGTCCAATCATGTCTCCAGTGCCAGGTCCATGTGATCCAGAGGACCTGATTGATGGGATCCTGTTTGCAGCCAGCTATCTGGGCTCGACTCAGCTGGTGTCAGAAAAAACACCATCCAAGAGTGTCCGTCTGATGCAAGCACAGGAAGCAGCTCAACTCATCAAGGTGAACCCAAACATCATGGATTTATCTGTGAACATTCTGGGTCCAAATTCAAGCAAACATTTTCAACCAACTAATGCAGACATTTAGTCATGCAGGAAAACTTTTCTTTTCACATATTTGGACAAAAAAATACTATAAAAATTCTGTTAGTTTGTTAAAATAAGGTAAACAAAAACAGAATGCAGTGATATGTTAACTTTAATTTCATATTCTCTCCACATTGAAACAGCAAACAAATCAAATGTTTACAGTAAATAAAACCAAAGGTTTTTAGAAGCAAAAAGTAATTCTGCAGTTTTATTGCAGCAGTATATCTTTAAAAATTGGGATGGGTAAGACTGTTTAAGTTACGACCCCATGCTTGTTTCCTGGTTCACCTGATCTGCTCCTTGTCTGAAAGAAGTAAAAGAAGTAAAAGTATCCTTTTAAATGTTTTGATTGTAAAGAAATCAAAGTAAAAGTAATGATAAAAATACTTAGTAAAATTACAAATCCTCAAAAATTTCTGAAGCACTGTAACAGAGTAAATGTACTTTTACTTATGGCACAGCTTTAACCACATCTCCAATGGAGGTGCTGGGGGACATTGCCTCCAAGTGGGCCATGTTCCATGTCTCCAGTGTCCAAACAGCTGTCCTGGTTAGTGGTCACATGTTCTAGTTCCCTGTTGTAATTTCTAYCCCTGTTCCTGGTGGTGAACTCCCTGGGTGAGGGAGGTCATCAAGCTAAAGAAGGAATCTTATTGAGCCTTGTTAGCTGGTAGGACTCTGAAGGAATTTGAGAAGTACCAGAGGGCCAAGAGTGGAAGCCCTGACTGTTGCATGCCTGAGATGCATGTTCAACTAAGAGGAGAGCCTGGAAATGTCCCAGRACATGTTGGAGAGACTGTCTTTCATCTGGCCTTAGAACACCTTGAAATCCTCCTGGAAGAGGTGGCTGTGGAGATTGATGTCTGGACCTTCCTGCTAAAACTACTGCGGATGGATGGATGGATGTCTGGATGGATGTCTGGATGGATGTCTGGACGAATGGATGGATGGATGGATGGATGGATAGATGGATGGATGGATGGATGTCTGGACGGATGGATGGATGGCTGGATGGATGGATGGATGGATGGATGGATGGATGGATGGATGGATGGATGGATGGATGGATGGATGGATGGCTGGATGGATGGATGGATGGATGGATGGATGGATTATAATGGTTGTAATGGAGTAGGAGACAACAGTTTAATAGTATTACAGTAACAGTGTCCTTGCAGAAGACACCATTACAGAACATGATGTCTCATATTTTTTATATTTCCCACCAACAGTCTCTTCTGCCCACTGATGTCACAGCAGAAAAAATACCAGCAACAAAACAGAACAAAAGTACAGTTACTGTGTAAACAAAAGAGCAAAACCAGGTGTAAGGAGCCCATTCTTTAAATATAAATATCCTAATGCAGTTAAACTAAACAATAAAAGTTTATTTAGTTCAGTAAACATGTTGTCAGAATCTGTTTTTAACTGTCTGTTTAGGATGGTCAGACTGCAGCTCAGCCTGTGTTCGAGGTGGATCTCTTCATCTCCACTCAGAGGATCAAAGTGCTGAAAGGTGACTCCCAGGTAAGAAGATGGAAATCCAACACTCTATCTTTCTGTTTAGGCTCAGATTCAAAACACACCTACATTCAAAACCATTACATCAAAATTCAGCTCACTCCAATTCAAACGGAWATAATTCATGTTCATAGTTTAACATTTAAAATCTTACATTTGAATTCACCTTTTCTAAAGGAAACTGCTTTCTGTTCAGTGATTCCAGGTCAGTGTGCCTTTCGGTCATTGGAATTTCCTTTCAGAAATGGGTATTTAAAAAACAAGAAATGAGTGACTGTTTTTTTAATACAGAAATAAAAATCAAAATACAAAGTATTTCTCATTTTTGGTATTAAAAAGGGTTGAGGCAAATTTTAAAAATATTTTGTGTTTCATTTTCTGTTTGGGATGACAAAAAAATGAAAATTACTTTAAAATAGAAACAAACAAAGTGACTGTACTCTCACCATAGCTTTTCACCCTCTAGACACTTCAGACTTTCAGCACAAGTCAGACAGCTGTCATCTCCAGAAATACTCAGATGACTCTGCAGTTGTTGGGTGTATCAGAGATGGACAGGAAGCTGAGTACAGAGAG